TCAGTTTTTAGGGTAAGGGTTTTAGAAAAAAGTATCGTCTTATAGTCGGAAAAATACGGTACCATGTATATTTCAGTGTGCTCTATATATCCTTGCAGAAATATATATATTTCAAAAATATTTTTAAAAATTGGAATTTGAGTATGTCCCACCTAGAACAAAGCAGAAGCCAGTAATCTTAGACAATAGATAGGTTTAGAATTGTATAACTGAGTAAGCATTATTTTCACGGGGATTGTAAATATATTGTGGCATATATTGAGTGTATTTTTTTGAATGATTTTAAGTGCTGTTTAGTTCTTATTTGTTAATTTATTACTGTGGTTGAACCGTACCCCACATAAACATTTATGTTTGTTTGCAAAGGATGTAAAAACACATACCTGCTCTTCCTTTCAATAAGAATAGCTATATAGGACGCTGGTAAAGCAGCACCAAAACCAGGAGACCAAAAATAGAATTTTCCAAGTATTCTCCTAAAAAAATTAAATGTAGAATTTGTTACAGTAGACATGGAAAGGAAGGGAAGGTCATATTGGGATTTGCAGGCTGCAAATACTGAAACAATACATTCACATTGGATCAAGGGCTCCCATAAGCAGAACTACACTCAGCAGATGCTCCTACTAAAGCAAGAAGGGGATGTGATTCTCAGATTCCACCTTTGCCTGACAGTCACTTGTGTCTCCCAAAAACCGTCTGCAGAGGATTAGGGGAACAACGTGGGAAGCTGTAGTGGGAAGAACTAAGCATGCTTTCTCCCTCCTCTTTGGTCTAGCAGGAGTGCTCTTAACAACACTTCAAAGAACCTCATAACATTCATAGTTCTAACACCTCCAGGAGGAACTTTAATTTTACTGCCTTATATTTCAAAGGATTACCTTAATACAAAGGATTTTGTACATTTACATAGTGGTAAGTCATATTTGTTACCACAAGAGAAAACTCTAAGCTGAACATTTACATTAGCATTCAATTAATGTATTATTTATTAAAATGTATGTCCTCCCCTTTCAGGATGACATTCCCCAAGCAGCCAACAATCAATACACACAACTGTAAATAAAAATGCAATACAGTAAATATTCTGTAAAAATAAGAAAATTGCTAGGATCCTTTTCATAGGGCAATTAGTAGTAAAGGCTTGGGCGTAATGGAAGATGAAACCAGCTGAGCTGGCTCCTGTATTAGTGGTTTTCTCTGTTCCTCTCTCCCTCTTTAGCAGTGTTGTCCAAACTTGGCCATTTTAAGAATTCTGGGAGTTGAAATCCACTCATCTTAAAGTGGCCAAGTTTGGACAACACTGCTCTTTAGAGATCCTTCCTATGAGCCAGCTGGAGTTAATGCCTGTGTTAAATGTTAAGAGGACATTTAACATTTCCTCTTAACATTTAAGACTGTTATGAGATGGATGAGACTGTTTTCTTCTCCACAATTTCTTAGAACAGGAGTTCTCAAACTGTGATTCATGCCCCATAGGTCACAAGCAACTTAGAGCAGGATCACAAAAAATATTAAATTTTGTCTTAATCATGGCAGTTGAGCTCAGATTAGTAAGCTTATGAATCAGGCCTTTTTCATAAGGGAGGCACAAGAGTTCTATCATCTGCCAACAGTAATGTATATTTTATTATCTATATTGTAGAAAACTTCTTTGAAATAAAGTTTTCTTTATATTTGTGATATCTATTTTATGAATTTTCTTGTTTATTTATTTTACTAGGCTTATATGCTACTCCAGTCATCTAATGACTGAGTAGTTTACCTATTAATTCCAGCCTTATTTCTGCAATCTTTGTATTGCTTTGCAATTCTCTTAAAGGCATATTTTATTTTTGTCAGGCTTTTCTTGACCAACTAAGCAAGGATCTGAAATAATACAGTTTCAAGGGCATAAACATTCTGTTAAGTGGATTCACTGTAGAAAAGGCAATGAAGGCATTATCAACAACAACAACAAAAATTCCAACAACTGCTGTGCACCAAACCCAAGCGCTATTTATACTGAAATCAAGGTTCAAATTCTTATATGTCCCCCACCCACATGGCACAATGAATTAGAAGCCACTCCCTTTGGACAGGAGGAATAGTTTCCACCTGCCTCTTGTTTTGGTACCAATCTGGTATCACTCTGTTTGCCTGTGACTATATGAAAACTGGCACTATTTTGTGGATTGGGGTTTAGATGAAATAGACAAAACTCTCATTCCTGCAAAATGACACTTACTGATAAAGTAATAGACTATTATTGGATATCAGCAATGTGCTGACATTAATAATTGATAACTGGATTTATAGAGTTTGTGGGTTGCCAGCAGGCAGCCTATCACAAGAGGCATGAAGTCGTCAGTATAGTCAGAAGTTAGTGGTAGGAACTTAGAGGCTGTTGGTGGGAACAGCTGCAAATATATCTTGGTTGTGGTGGGTTAAAGGAGATTCAGTGGGAGATTTCTAAAAATGAGCTTAAATATTTCAAGAGAAAAATGGACTTGCTAAAACAGATCAACAGGATAGTCCCAGTTGGAAAGCAAGCATTGCTTAGCTAACAAATAGGAAACAGCACTGTGTCCGCTGTGTCCAGGATACTAAAAAGGAACAAATGTTGTATTAGTGAGCTCAGCAAATAATGCCTAAGGATAGGATGGGATCACAATTTTTCATCAATAGCTCGGGGAGATGCTCTTTAGAAGGGATATGTGCATTTTGTTCCTTAAAAATATCAGACAAATTTAGAAGCCATCATTAGTTTTACAACAGGTTATTTCATCATCATCTGATATAGTCAAAACCATATGTTCAAATCACCTTAAAGTGCAGAAAAACAGAATGTAGAGACTTCCATTTGCTGTAAGAAAGGATGTTGATTGCAGGATTTCAGGAAGCAGCTTGTTCAAATAATAATCAAGTTTTCGTTTCCGGAGAATTGCAGCAATCTGAAAGAGATTCGCACATCAGTTCAAATTTATTTATTTATTTAAATATTAAATATTTAACTTTTCAAACCCTATTTACGAATGAGAAAAACCACTGTAAACATGTCCAACACTGAGATAAAACCTGTCCCAGATTAATGTTCACTCTGTTAATTTGCCCCACTAGGGGACATTAAATACCTGTCTCATTCTCCCATGTACCTTTTTTTTAATATTTCTTCAGTAAGAAAGTGGAATCCAATTTTCCAACAAGACTAATGCATTCATTTTTCATTGTTTTAATGCATGTTTTTGCCTTACATGGCTAAATTTTACATTTTTATACAAAGGAAATTTGTTCCCTACATATTTTAAAACACTGACTGGTCACTTCACCATCCCAGAATATCCTGACATGCATACTAATTTATTACTTTGATTTCCATGTATATGACCTGTCTATGTAGAGATAATGGAAAAGGGCCTTTATTTTTCCTTACATTTCCATCCCTTCTACTTCCTCAAAAGTATAACTTAAGATGTCAGCAAGGAAAGCATCATTATCCAGGCCTGTTATTAAATTTATTTGCCACCCAACTCCTAGCCACTCTGGGTGGTTTACAAATTGTTAAAAACATTTAAAAAACAAGAAAACACCACAAACGTTATTATATAAAGGTAGTTATGATGGCCATATCCATGGCTGCAGTAAATGTTGTTTTAAAAAGTACAGTGTGGTACCCTTGATACTGATCCCTCCTATACCTCCCAGGATAGTAGCATACCCTACAGAGGCAGGTAGTAAGTTAGGCCAAAATTCTACAATTTACATAAATAAAGCAATAAGAATATCTAAAAAGTTCAAATGTTAAACAGCTAGAATCACTCCACTCTTGACAGAAAGACCAAGAAAAATTATCGTTACTAAGGATATCATCTTATTGATCCTTATTCCAGCAATGTTTAGCCAACAATGCTTCAGATAGCAAAGCACATAAGTGTGGGAAAGCATTACTGTTCTCAGTTAACCTATGCAGAATAATAGAAAACATTTCATCATGGCAGGGGAGGGGGGACATAGTTAATGTGTGGTTTATCTAATCAAAGCAGGAATTCAGGCCTGTAACCTTTACTGTTAAGGCTGTACAGTAGTTAAAAGAATTTGGAAGAGTCCTTTCCACCAAGCTTAGAGGTATGATTTCTGCCTGTGGACCTTCACAAACACCTGTTGGCCTAGTTGCACAATGCTGGACCCCAGGGTGGATTTAGCAGCAGTGGGCAAGACTTACAGATTTCAGTACTCTGTTTAACTGCAGACAATAAGATCAGTCAAAAGTAACTGATAGATTGTTGGTGGTGAAACACAGACTAGCATAGTGTGGTCCACTTGATGACAGATGGGTTATCAATACCCCACAGGAGTTATTATCATTAAGAGAAGCAGCCAGGGAGGAAGAAACAAGCAAGGGGGACATTAAGGGTCCAGCATCCACTAAGAAGAGGTTCTACTGAAAAAGAGACAGAGGCAGCAGAATCAGGTGAAAACAGAGGTCTCCTGAGGCAGCTCTATTGGACAAGCCCCAACCCACTACCAGTTATTGGGGCTCCTCAAAATTTTGATGAGGCTGCAAAAAAAAGTGCCGGCACTGCGCTTTCCAAAGTCCCATTTGTCCAAACCAAAAACAAGCTTGTTGGTTTGTAGGATGCAGCTGCCAGCCTTTGTGACTGAAGAGGAAATAATTGTGCCCCCATCATCTGCCATCCAGAGGAAATTCTGAACGAGATGGTTAAAACAAGGACTTCCCCATTTGTTGCAAGGATGTGGTTTGGAGTGCCATGAAGTGTTATTTTATTATTATTATTATGGTTGGTCTCACATTCAGCCAGAAGTTTAGACTGGATTTGGCATTTTTGTTCACCTATGGAGTGCTTCCCAAGGACCTGGGATAGACAGATGTTGCTGTTTAATAATATTAAAGGTATCGTCGCAGGATGTAAGCTTTTCCAAGTAAAGCTGCCTTTTGCAACTGACTGATGGTGATTTCGTCAATGCTGATGGTCTTCAAGTGGTGCTCCAGATGCTTTGGAATTGCACCCAAGGTGCCACAGTTGTTCTATTTCTATTTGCAGGTCTTTGTATTTTGTGATTTCAGCTCTTTCTCTTCTATTCTGCTGTCTCCAGGTATTGCAATGTCCACTATCCAGACGTAGTTGTCTTTCTTATCAACAACTGTTAAGTCTGAGGTGTTGGGTGGCAGGTGCTTGTCTGTTTGGATTCTAAAGTGCCAGAGCAGTTTAGCTTATTCATTTTCTATT